TAAACTTGAAGACAAATCTAAATTAAATACTACATTATTAAGAAGACACATCTAAGTTGAACACTTCTTCATTATAAAAGAAGATAAATCCAAGTTAAACTTTTTTTCATTATAAAAGAAGACAAGTTTAAATTGAACTCTTCAACATCATAAAGGAAAACAAATTCAATTTGAAGTTGTTTTACTTAATTATTAAGTAAGATGACTTCCTCCAAATTCTATAAATAGGGAATACTATAGAATACAGAGTTTCATTGTGAAATAGTTTATTACTTAACTTTTGTTATGAGAGATTTGTGTTTGAGAGAAACTATAGCGAGTTTTCTTGTAGTTGTTTTAGTGTGTAATTGACTATTAACAAAGCTAAAATTCTATTAAATGTATTGATTTTTTAATAGAAAAATTATTCATTGAGTATTTATCTTTATCACAACAACGATATTTTAACTAGACAATTTATTTTAATTACCAACATTTTCTAAGCAACATATAATATAAATAAGTAGTAATTAGTTAGTAGCGATACATGTTAGACATCCATTCTCAAGGGATGTAATATAAGTTCTTAACTTTTAAATCTCAGTTAACTATTAAAAATATATATTTTATGTCATTTGAAAAAATATATTAAACTTTTCAAATTAAATTTTTAAAATAAGTATCACTAATTTATTATTATTTTTGTTTTTAGTGTTAATATATTAAATTATATACTTTATTAATTTATTCAAAAACTTTCTTTAATAGGCTTACATAAAGTCATATATTTTAATAAAAAAATTTAACTTATGAATTAATTTAAAATAAAATTATATAAAAAATTATGGAGGAATAAAATGAACAATTAAAAAATATTTCTTTTAATTTTGAAAAAGTGCTTGACAGTATTTGCATATAAAAAACTAATAATAAAATAATAAAATGATTATATGTATAAAAATTAAATTTTAGCAGTAACAAAATAACTAGGACAAAAAATGCATCTATTCATCTAATTTGATTTTCTTTTGTTTTTAAAAAATTTAAATTATTTTTTAATATTTAAATATAATTCAAAATTATTTTATTCATTATATTGTTTTTGTTAATTTTTTTGTGTATACACAGAGATATCGTTTTAGAGAAAAATGTTTCTCTTTTTCTCTCCTATTTTGTGTATTTGTGTGAGGAGAAGATAATAAAAAAATGAAAAATAAATTAATTAAAGAACAAAAGGTATATCTAATTAAGTCTAAACCGCTGAATTAATTAATTAAGAATATCACACATCGCATCCAATTCTTTTTTCTTTAAATATAAATAATTTTGTTTGACGGCACATAATATGTAGTATTCTTTTTCAAAGGTTGGTATCTGATTCCAAAACGCAGAAATAGTCACAGTCACAGTTACTGTGTTCCCATGGCCATCAAGTGAGAGAGAGGCACACTGATTTTGACCCTTCTTGCGTTGCTCCCTCTCATACCCTTTGATCGCATGTTGTTTCCTCCATTTCAATTCCATGTTCCCGACATGGGGGAATAAAGAAACATAGTACTTTGTTTTCTTTTAAAGTTAGTGCTGATTCTTTTTAAAAGTGCTAGCACATTGGAATTTTGATTATCAGGCCCCAGGAACAGTGAATGGTATATTGGGTAGGAATTCATTTTAAGTGTATAATAAGAAAAAGTGTTGATAGTGCAACTGGAATGTAAAAAATACTAGTAAAATTTGAACTATGTGTAATTTCTATATATTACAAAGTATAGGCATTTTTTTTATCTGCAAAAGAAGAATATATTAGGTTAATTAAAAAAAAAAACTACAATTTGTTTCTATATTTAAAGTTCTATTTTCATTCTAGAGAATCTAGACTTTGAATTCCTCCGAAGTTTCTGAAACTATTTTAAACTCCGAATGTTAATTAACACAATATAGTTGTTGAACAATTCTTTCATGATACATATTTTAAGGATTATTTTAAAGTATAATAACTTTGAGAACATGAATGATTTGCATTAGTTAATTTTCATCAGAGGATGTGCAAAATAGCAAATCATGATTCGAGTTTTCGATGAAAAGTGTCTACGCTTAATATTTGACCATATCTCAAGCAAGATTACCTTTGAGAAACGAAAAATTAATAATAATGCTTTGGTTTTGAATTTATATATCATACATTTTATGCTATCATCTAATTTAATCCCATTTTATTACAACATGAAATAGTACAATTATGACAACAACTCTCAAAGAGATCAAATATTTATAGTTTATGTGATGGCGCATGATTAAATAATAACGTGCCTTGACATTATATTAAAAAATAAAATTAAAACTAAACCGTGCATTAATATGGATTATCCATGACCCAAAAAGACAATATTACATAAATGCTTGTAAAAACCGAAATAAAGAATGTTGGCAAAATTAGCTAAACCTTCTTTAGAATTTGTGTTTTGGTAGAAATTTTCCCTTTTTTGTCGTAATTTTCCTTTGATCTTTTTGGGTCGATAATTTACCTTTTGATTGAAAGCAAGAAACGTGTGAAAGAACGGTGTTGTGTTTTTCGTCAACTAAAGAACGGTGGTTGATAGATGTTGACTAGGCCCAATATAGTGGAGAAAGAAAGAGCAGCCCAACACTGTTATGTAAAGCCCAATATTCAAAAACACCACAGGTATTGACAAAAAGAAAAAAAGCAAAGTTTCGTCGTGTAACCATTTTTTTTTCTTCAAAATTAAAGGTAAACAACCCATATGCAACTCCTGTTAATCTTGTCGTAAGTATTTGTATTTATTTTTAAAAATTTAAGATTTAAACAATAAGAAGTTTATAATAATAATAAAAAAAAAACAATAAGAAGTTTAAGTCAAGTACGATTTACAAGATTATAATTGGTTATCCAATGAAAAACCATTGTACACGTTATCAGAAAATATATGAAAAAAAAAATTGTATTAGGGTAAACATTATTTTTTTCTCTATTTCAACAAAGCAACACACACACACACACACACTACGAAATCAAATATAAAACAAGTAACTTCTGCTATATATACCTTTTAATTCACGCAAAAGAAAAAAGAAAAGAAAACTATTTTATGCTAAAGCAAAGTTGCAAAGGTTATGATGAACCAAAATTGAAGTGGAGTGTGGAGGCACATATCACAATAGCACATGCCCCTACTTGTATTTGTGAATCACATGGCTCCCAGACCTGACTTGGGCCTACAAAGTTCAGCGTATTCTGCTTCCTTCAAGCTCATGCAATGACATGGCTGCAATCTTTACCTTCAAGTTACTTATGTATGTGCCTAGCCACTACAATGGATATAAGGTCATATATCTTAACTCCACTGTTCTAACAATAATTGCATACCTCAATTTGTTTCACTTTATCCCTAGATATATAAGACACTCAATGGGTAAAGTTAAAAAGTAACATATGATTGATCCAATACTTGCTCATTCCAATGCTAATCACTACCTCAACAATGCATTAGCTCTTGGTTTAGTCCAAGCATCATATATATTATATAATGTTGTCATGTTCTTTTTTGCTCTTCAAAGTGGTAGAAATGCTAGCTCCGTAACTTCTTACCAACCTCTATTTCTTTTTAACAAACAGCACCTTATTTATATCCTCACCCATTCTTTATAGATTAAAAAACAGAAAAACAAAAGTGATAAAATAAAATAAAATGTCCAATAAGACGTGCGCACCAGCAAGAAGAACTATGGCTGCAATCCAACGAGAAGTTGCTGCGTGTCCTGAAAATCTTTGCATTTTAAAATCATAAAATCTTTGTTCATGCAGAGCAACAAAGAAAATGTTGATATATAGAAAGCAGGTTTGATTGATGGAATAGCCAACCGAACATATATATAGTTTTAAAATATTGGCGTTAGTTTGTGGGAAAGGTAACAACTATTGCAGTGGAATGTTTGCAAATTTCAATTTGTGAATGACTATTATTAAAAATAACATCTACGAATTCTATAGTACGTTAAACTCAACCCTAAGAAGATACAAACACAAGGGAAAAAATAGAAGAAAAATTCTGACACTAAGTGTTAGAATACGTGATAAAAGAAGTGTCCATTTTATTTTTCATTAAGGAACGGGGTTGAATATTAATTTTAATTAACGTCACAAGAATATATCAAAGTCATTTTCATGAAGGTCAGAGGTGGGCTTCACTTTGTTTTCTTCCCAAAATTAAATTCTTGCTTGGATTCATCTCTTCCCTTTATTTCATATCACATTTGGTCCTTTAGGTGTGTTAGGTTGACAGATGGAGTTGATCACTTGTGTTCTCATTTTCCCGAACCTATAAGTCGCCAAAACCAACTAACTCAGTCATATATATATGCATAACAAATTAAAATTCTTATATAGTAATATGATTAAACGGCTGTATAAAAATATTTGAATTAAATTGTAAAAATAAATGTGAACCGAGTATTAGACAAAAAAAAGTGTCAACAGGATATCATAACTCTGTCTTTGTACAAAGATCTTAAATTAAGAATCATCATCATGGCATGGGGACGAGAAGGAAGATAACAACAATCAGAATTTGATATTAATTTTATAACAAAAATCAAACTTGATATCATGAGGATGTTGGCATTTGAACATAACAATGTACGTTACTTCTCTAGATGGATAACGCATACACACATAAACTTTGGTGCGCTTTGTTTACAACGTGGAGCCAGCAATTGCTGTACAGAAGAAAAAGCAATGATGTGGTCCTTCAACAAATGATCAAGTTTGAATCTATGACCAGTGAGGGACCCACGTGTCCAGCTTGTTCAAACATCCCTTGCAAGTATGTGTGTGTGTGTGTGTGTGTTGTTCAGTGCACTTTTTTGCTTTTGTTCACCGTGTAACTGCTGTGTGACTCAACCTTCATCAGATTCTTGAATTCTTCTCTCTCAGCTTCTTTGTTGGATTCTCCGTCACATTTGCTGCCCCTTTTGATCCCTTCTCACTACTACACTTAGTTTTTGAAGTTGTTGTATTTGAAGTCTTGCTCCCATAGTGACTGTCTCAGGCTTACCTGTGTTATTGTTTTGTTTTTTTTCCTTATTTTTTATGAACTGGTAAGTTTATGGTACAACGTGTTACATGCTTTTTCCAGAACATGTTTACTTTTTGGCCAACCGTTATTGCTGTCAATGTTTTGATCTGTCTGGCTATGTTCCAGTAAAGTGTGTTTTGTGTTTGTGTTGCTTCATAGCTTGATGACTTTGTTCTCTCTCTCTCTCTCTCTCTCTCTCTTTCTTGTATGTCCTTGTTTGGTTGCCAAGAGTTATTCTTTTTATAAAGTTGAGTTCTTTGCATTTGGTTCAATGCTTTATTTTGTTGACTTTTTGGGTATATTAATGGGTTGATGAGGTAAATAACTCATTTATTCTTTTACAATTGTGAAGGGTAGATTTAAACACAGTAATAATGCTAAGCTCTAGCTTTAATTTTATAAACAGTGATTGTGATTAATTATGAATGATGTATGCTACTGACCATTTAGTTTTCATTATAATGAATCAAGATCAACTATCACTAATGCAATGTTTTTAACCATGAACCTTTTTGCAGGCTTCTCAATGGATTGGATGATCAATAGATAATAGCAAAGCAGGGAAGAGGAGATGAAAGAGGAGTCATTAGGATTAATTATTGGGGTTTCCATTGGTGTGGTTATTGGAATTGTTCTGGCAATTTTTGCATTCATCTGCCATAGGTACCATAGGAAGCGTTCACAGATAGGCAATAGCAGTTCTAGAAGGGCTGCTACCTTACCCATTCGAACAAATGGTGCTGATTCTTGTACTATTCTATCAGACTCAACCATAGGTCCAGAATCACCCATAAAGTCAGGGAGGAATGGCATGCCCTTTTGGCTTGATGGGTTTAAGAAGAGTAGCATGATCCCAGCATCTGGACTACCAGAATATGCATACAAGTATGAGTTTCTTATGTGATGTTGCATTAATTTGACTTTCTTCTTTTGTTTTGGGATGAGCCTATTTTAGTATGCAAGAGATTAAGGATAATGTTTTCTGTTTGCCTTTTTATGATTAAACTTGCGTGCCTCATGAATCATGATCTGCATACTCTGAAGAGAAATAGATTTAGGTTATTATGTTGAAAGTTGAAACACTTAAATGTCAGACATCGAAACAATGGAAAAATTGCCTTTAAAACCTTAGTTTTACTAGAATATTTAAGCTCTAAACTTGTCAAAATTGATGGATGATTGCTTGTAGGAATGTGGCTTTTTGATTCATGCTTGGTATGCCTCTACTACACAAATGCATGCAAATCTTTAAGTTTTATAACATAAATATCTTGTTTTGGAAATGTGCAAAATTTCACCCCCAAATTGTTACTAAGAGTGAAATTTGAAATGTTTCAGCCCAATGAACAGACTGCGTTTTGCATTTTTTTTTACCATTGAATGTTTTGTTTATGCTTCAGGGATTTGCAGAAGGCAACACATAATTTTACCACAATCATAGGACAAGGTGCATTTGGTCCTGTTTATAAAGCTCAGATGTCTACTGGTGAGACTGTTGCAGTAAAGGTTCTTGCAACTAATTCTAAGCAAGGGGAAAAAGAATTTCACACAGAGGTCAGTTACCAATGTCATTTACCACTACTTTGGCCACACCACTGATAGAATTATGATGTGTTTCATAACATAAATTTCAGTTAACTGCGAAAAAACTATGAGTTCAGACTGCTGACGAAAATATTAGAGTCATCATTGATGTGAATAAGTATTGATGTTTAAGTATCATTTTGGAAATTTAGAATATTAAGAACATGACTATTGTCATATCCTAAATTGGAAAAATATTTTCACTTGAGTATTAATCTGCGCTACACTTACAGATAAATAGTTAGAAACTAGGCATGTTTACATTTTACTGAAGTTATTGACTCTTGGAGCAACTGGTGATATAGCAGTTTTACAGTTCTTTTCATATACATCAATTTTCTATACGGTCTTTCATTTTCACTCCCGAGTAATTTAAATCTTTAATTTTAACCTTTTATGTTACACTTTTTCTCAGGTTATGTTGTTGGGTAGGTTACACCATAGAAATCTGGTGAATTTAGTTGGATATTGTGCAGAAAAGGGGCAACATATGCTTGTATATGTCTACATGAGCAAGGGTAGCTTGGCTTCCCACTTGTATAGTAAGTCATCTTTCTATCTTTCTACTTGACACGGATAAATGTTTTTCTTTTCAAACTTTTGTCCCTGAATTTGTTCATGGAAATATGTATCTGCAAGCAAATTTATTCACATTCTTTTGCTCTACATCCTTAAACTCCTTCCCCTTCTCTAGACCAAAAAGTTAAGTAACTTCAAAATATCAATGAAATGAAAGGATAATATTTGCTCAGTCATTCATATAAGTTTGGCATATTATATTTATCTATATAAAATCAATGCATTTGGTATATTGCACGGGCAATAGTAGATTGAACAATATTTTTTCTTGTTTCTATATTAAGGTGCTGTGAATGAAGCACTGTCCTGGAATTTGAGGGTTCACGTAGCCTTAGATGTAGCAAGAGGCTTGGAGTACCTTCATGATGGGGTAAGTTTCCATGTGATCTGAACCAATCTAATTATTAGTTGTACATTGTTATGATTGCATGTATTGTACGGTCACTTCAGGCAGTTCCTCCTGTTATCCATAGAGATATCAAATCTTCCAATATTCTGTTGGACCAATCTATGCGAGCCAGGGTATGTCCTTGTTACAATGTTACTCATCATCTTTATTACAAAAAATACTACTATTGATCACATGTATAAGAAATACTTACTAGTATTTCTTTTAATTATAAAAAATAAAAATTTATTTTCAAATTCACGAATTATTAATGTTTTTTTATATCTTTATTTATTGTAAAATTTATGTTAATGAGACACTCATTATTCATATAAGTAAATATATTAATAATCTAATAAATATAAATCACCAATTTAGTTATACTATGATTAGTATTTTTAAAATATAATGTAAATTTATGGCTGAAACAAGCAGGTTGCTGATTTTGGACTTTCAAGAGAGGAGATGGTGGATAAACATGCAGCTATTCGAGGTACATTTGGTTATCTTGATCCAGAGTATGTATCTTCAGGGACGTTCACAAAGAAAAGTGATGTATACAGTTTTGGGGTGTTGCTCTTTGAAATTATAGCTGGCAGAAACCCCCAGCAGGGTCTTATGGAATACGTTGAGCTTGTAAGATCTCTTTTCAATCCATCATAGCTATACTCAAGATAATGGAGGTGGTGATTTTGGGAGATATATAATGCATATCCATACCAAAACAAGTTAATTTTCTAAACAAATCTATCAGGGTCATGCTAATTGGTAACTTAAGGATACCACTTGAAAGACATTTAATACCCTTCATAAAGTGACGATTTTTTTATTCAAACGTGGAAGGTAAAGTTGGCATGTGATTTCAATCCACTTCCAGTTAAAATAAATAAAAAACCAACTACTATTCGGTATCATTTTTTTTCAGTATCGTTAGGTACTGTTTAACATTTTTCTTACTCTCTAATTGTATACACACATTCCAAAAATACATCTAAAAGGTAAAGGAGAAAACTAATTGTCCACCAAAAATGTTCGAATAAGCATTTTTTTTATTAACTATTTGACAAGTGTACTTGTTGAAATTGTCATGACTTAAAGGTCAAGAAAGAAAACATGTCAAAGTTAAAACTAGTTGTTGCCTTTGTCCACTTAACACATTATGGATAATTCATTTTCTAAGCTAATGAATGCTATTGATGGATCATTATAGGCCGCAATGAATATCGATGGAAAAGATGGGTGGGAGGAAATTGTGGATTCTCGCCTTGATGGAAACTTTGATGTAAAAGAACTCAATGAAGTGGCATCCCTTGCCTACAAATGCATCAATCATGCCCCAAGAAAACGCCCTTCTATGAGGGACATAGTTCAAGTGTTAACAAGGATCCTTAAGTCAAGTCACCATGGAAATCATCACAAGAACTCCTTATCAGCTTTAACAGATGAAGTTTACATTGATGCTGATCAGCCAGAGACCAAGATTTCTGCTACTGACCATAGAAGAGAAGAATCTATGGATAGTGTATTAAACTCGTGTGAAGTTTAGAATATGGTTTTACCTTCACCTGATTTTTATTTTCTATTTTTTGCTACATTTCATTTTTGGATTTTGCATTTGGATGTACATAGTTCTGGTTGTGTAACATGTTCCTCCCATTTTTTTCTCTTACATTGGTTATATTGTCTTGCACAAATGATACTCCAAAATTTGTATATTAGTACTTTAACTAGTGAAAGATGAGTCAAAAGAAAGACAACTTTCCTATTAACTTGCTATACATTCAATTTCACACACCTGTAACAATTTACTTATCATAAAATTTACACACAAAAATTGCATAACATATAAAAATGAAAACAAACTCTCTAAATTGGTCTTAATTAAAATTAGGGTGCAACTACATTAATTCTCTGAAATGATTTAGAAAATTTAACAAGAATAAAATATATTGCTGAAATTGATACAACTTTTAATATATATATAAATTCATGATTATTAAACGATGAATCTAAACATACCCTAAAATAATTTACAACACTTTAAAATTCAGATAACAAAAAGAAAAGGGCCGAAGAATATGTATACATGAACTAGTCCAAAACATGTCAAAACAATACTTTTCTGGGTTAATCAACAGCGTTATGGGCCCTAACTTTGTTACAACTTTAAATTAGCTGATCTTAACTATTATGAGGACCCAAACACAATGAGTGTGAACAACTACACCGAATTATCTTTGGATTCGGGAAATATGGCATGGGGCATCTTTTTATGAGGTCACTCATGGCTCTATATAAGGAGGAGACCTTTCATCAATACGCATATTCTACTAACTCCATTTACATTAAGACTATGTGAGGTGGGTAAATCACACACATCAAAAAACTTAATTTTAATTAAAAAATTACATAAAATACTATAACTAAGTTTTATGCATTAATTTATCCATCTTTCCAACGTGCCGCTGGCCCTGCCACATGAAAAAAATAGGCATACCCTTAAGAGTGGAATCCAACCAAACATTACTTAATCCACCCTAATCCCTACGACATCATGCATAATTGTAAAATTGGATCCACTACATAGACTTCTAAAATAATAAAAAAGTGTAGCTTAATAGACTATAACCAGTTGAAAAATAAAAGCTTAGTGCATTTTAAATAAGAAAGAGTAGAAAGGGTCCATTAGGCTTTAGCGACATTGCAACATCTTTATTGTTTAATACTATAATTCATAGAAGTTCATATGCAACTGATCTTCCAATTCAACAACCCTCTTTGTTGCTTCTAAGGTAAAACTAGCATGTTCAGCACAACAAAGTTCCCCGAGATATTCTTGTACAAGTGAGATGTTGTTGGCAACGCCCTTCATAGTACTGTTTCAGTAATACACAGGGAATTACCATAAGAGTAGTGATGGAAAGATAGTAAGGTAATGACTGTTAGATGTGTTTATAGTCTTTATCTATATCATAAATTTGTCCAACAATGCCAGGTGTCATTCAGCCGTTCATTTCTTTTTGGTTCGGTGACATTTTTGTTTTTGTGTTGGAGATGATGGGCATTCAGAATTGACTGTTGATTTTGCACATGTTTTGTGTCTTGTTTGTTGTTTCATTCTTATATAACAATTTCTCTAGATTGTAAGCTCTTGGATGCATAACTTTCAATTAGTTACATGACAGTATTTTTTATATATTTAATAGAAGCAATGAATTATTTTTCCTTCAAATTTCGCTTTCTCTTCAGCCAGTTTCATCCCCTCAAAAGTAATGAAGATTTGAATCCTATTCTCTTAACATGAAAGTTGGTACTTAGCTTTCAGTAAGTGAAAATCAAGATCTTTAATATTTCTCTTCATATATATATATATATATATGGGTAACACAAAAGTTTACAATACATCAATGCCGACAATGGTTTTGGACATTTTCAATTGTTGTTGTCGGATGAAAGATATGGATGAACCGTTTGTGAGTACAATATTCCTATACAACAATATCATTGTTTGGCAATAAACGGTTCAACAGTCAACAATGCTATACTAAAAGTTCAATTCATGCTCACGGTCCAGCTAGATAAGGTTTTCTCTATATCTTAATCCAAACATTTTTCATCTAGAACTCAATTCATTTTCTGCCTTCTTCAGACCTAAGCGGAAAATTGTAATATATATTTTATTTTATAAATTTAAAAATGATTATTAGTCTGCTTCCCAGAATTTAGAAATCCAATTCTCTCATCCTGTTTCCTTTCCACCAAACATGAGTTAGATATGACAAGGCTTGACCTACCCAATATTATTATAGTTCACTTGATCATATAAAATTGACATTTGAAGAAGCCTAATCTCTTTTTTCTTTCCTTTCCAAATTTGTCTCTTCTTACTCTTGTCCTGATTGCAATATAATTCCTTCGAAATTCTCTATTGTTCGGTGTAGCCGGGCATTCACAAATCCTCTGAGAGATCCCTAAATCAGTTCACTAGCACTAACCTATTGTGATTATAGTATGTACAAATCTGGGTTTTGCATCTTTTTTTTTTTAAGAATGTGATAATTTTATTTTAAATGAGGAGAAAATGCAAGTTCCTAAATTTATATTAATTCATGTGAGATGTTATGAAGCAATTTCATATTTCACAGGCAAGAAGTTTTTTAGTGCTTTTAGAATATGAAAAACCACTTAGCTTGTAAATATATACAAGCAGTGTTAGACTATTTTAAATGGATTAATGGATTATCCAACAAATAAAAATCTATTACAAAATTTGTTTTTTGGTGAATGAAAAAACCCATAAAACAATGAGAAATTAGGACAAATTACATTGGCATCCCTTGAGATTAGGGATGACAATGGGTAAAGTACCCGATGGGCACCCGCAAAATTTACCCACAATGGGTAGGGTATTTACCCGCTATACGAGTACGGGTATGGGTGTGGGTAAAAACCCGCAAATTTTAATGGGGATGGGTGCGGGTATGGGTATCTAAGTACCCACCCCGCCCCATACCCGCATATATATATATATATATGCTTGAACTTTATTCTACAATTATGAATTGAATTTTTGTATTATTATATTACTTATGTGAAGTTATATAAGATTAATATAAAAATATATTTAATAATAAAGTAAACCAAAAAATTTATTTTGGTTTATATTTTTAATAGAAAAATTTATTTACTATTTTATATCATTTAATTAGGCTAACACAATTTAATTATTACATAATTAATATGAGATTGACTTTTTTTTAAATATTATTTATATATGACACACATAAAATATTTTTTACACAAATATTTTTGTTAATAAAATCATATTGATGTTTAAATCATAAAGTGAATGATAAATAATAAATATATTATAAATATTTTATAAATTTTACAATCACCTACTATTACTGTAAACTTATTATTTATTAATAATATTTAAATTTTATTTTTATATTTTAATTTAAAATAATATTTTTCTATGCAACATATGTATTACAAGCACAACTATAATCTATTGAATCTAAATAATATTATTCTTACTATTTATTCACATTCAAAGAAGTTTTTGAAAAGATATAAATATAAAAAATTATTGTTAATTTTTATTTGTTAATTTTTTTAAGATAAAAAAGTATAATTTTTTTAATATACATGTATATTTCTTTATTATAAAATTTTATTGTAACTATTTATCTTTTATTTAAATTCTTTTTTTTAAATTTATATACATTATAAATATTTAATTCACTAAAATAATTTTTCAAAAATTTATATTTTTGATAAAATACTTTCGTATAGTATATGAGTTAAAAAATACTAGTATTAATATATATATATATATATATTAATTATATTATATTATTTTAATTAAATCTATTATTTTTCTTACAATTTCAAATTCAAAAGTTAAAAAAAATATTTTATGTATCAACTTTCTATTGTTAGTATTGAACTTCTCTACTCTAACTCTATTCTCATTCTCAATGTCTGTCTCACTAAAACTTAATAACTATGAAATGTTATTCATTAGAGTTAGTTGTTAATGCCGTCACAAGAGGTTACTAAGTGATCCCACACGAAGGGGACAACCATTATACAGATTTATTTCATTGTCGTTCTGACATTACCAATCAATCAAATCTCACACAAGATAGGATTACCACTGACAAATAACTTGTGTGTTTAGTTTTGCTTATTGTTTCTAAGAATTTTAGTTTAGAAAATTATTATATTAAGATACATTTAACATTTATGATCTTTGAATATTTATTTTTTATCTATATTTGTACCTTGTTCGATAATTACATATTGAATTTTTGTATTATTATGCTACTTATGTGAAATTATATAAACATATTTTTCTTTATAAATTTTTTTTTCTCAAACAAGCGCGGGTAATGGGTACAAGACGGGTATGTGAGTACCCAGAGGGTACGGGTACGGGGATTAATGTTCATACCCACGCGGGTATGGGGATGGGTACTGTAGTACCCTACCCATTGCCATCCCTACTTGAGATTTGAAAAAAATTTACTCAATATCTCATTTTTTTCATTAATTGATTCATATAACTACATAATAAATTAAGAGTAATTTGTGCAACCGAGAGAGGTATACATAGTTATATTCTTGCATAAATTAAGAAAAAATTGTGTAAAAAAAAATCAAATAAAATTTTGCCCTCAAAAAATGTCAATGAAGTTTGTCCAAAAAATTAATTACAGCCATACATAAGAGCATCATCAACAGAAAAACTCATATAAGTAGGAAAAAGTAATTAACTAAAGTAAAAAATATATTAACATCTTTTTAAAAAATATTACATATAAAAAAAAGGTGGGGCCATAGTTCCCTAAAACATAAGTAGCTATTCTCCTGTCTATAACCTCATTTATAACCTTTAAAAACTTTATAAATCTAATTATGATTAAAAAAAAAAAAGTAATGCCCATAATTCATATTGAAGTACCAAGGAATTCTGTCACGAATTGAAGTCCTGTAAATAACCTGGACACATACATTACTTTCATAATAACATTTCAACCACATGCAAACTTGTCAATTACTATATATGATCATATGATATCACAAAGGAGAAGCTACACATTGAACGAATGTTATGGTGACAGATAATTATTTTTCTCACTCTAAAAGCATATAAATATTTTTCCTTGAGAATTACAATCCTGTATATAACTGGGACATATGCAGTAAGTTCAAAACATTTGGCAAACGTGCATGGCAGCACAACAGCAACAATATAATTTGTTTTCTTATCTGTCATCATACCAAATCCACAAACCATAAAAAAACTTAGATATACACTATGCATGTCTAGATTATTCCACTCTATTTTATTTATAGCACATACCCACCTGCGTGCTAGATGCTTGCCTACTATTATAGTAAAACGTTATTCTATATTAAAGATTCTCCTCACAAATACCCTAAAATAGAGCAAGAATATATTTTTATAACTTTTTTTCATTTAATTCTTGAACTAATCTCTTATAAGCGAATTAGATTCTATCCAGTTTTAATGTTCGGTGATCCATAAATGTCTGGTTTTACCTTGAAAAAAACCTCAGTTAAAATAAGAACATTGTTATCATTCTCCTATTAGAGAGAGAATCATTAGTTCAAAAACACTATGATAGACTAAGCTCTTCATATAAAAGGTTCCATCAAGGTGGTTTTGTTTGGTGGATATTTTGGTAGTAGTGAGTAAAGGAAATGGAGGAAGCACTGAAGATAGGGAAATGCAATGGTGAAGTTGCTCCTTCTGCCAAATACTGCGTTACAGGGGCCACAGGGTATATTGGTTCATGGCTGGTTGAGGCTCTTCTTGAAAGAGGCTGCACGGTTCATGCTACTGTAAGAGATCCTGGTTAGTATTCTAATAGACTAATACCCTTTTCCTCTTTTATTCTTTTTATATCCCTTTTTGTTATTCAAACTAGTATAAGATAAAGAAATATATATATATAGGAACAAAGAAAATATTGATTTTAACATAAGTTATGATATAGCATTTATATTTTACTAGTCCTTCCTTTCAATCATCAATATTTTTCTAGCTATTTCCATGATCATTTTTGTAGTAACAAAGTTTTGACAACCATTGTAAAGTTGAGTCTGCAGAAGCCATTTTTTCAACTTCAAATATAGATATATAATTTTCTTCTAAATTCTATTTTCTTCTTTGGGGAGAGGGTTTCAGGGAATAGACAGTCTTGCTAAATTTTCAAAGGATTTTATTATATAATCAAAGTTCAGAGTCTAAACTATGAAATCTGGACAGAGTCACATAAGGATATTTCTTAGGCCTATCTTTAGGTATTTTCAATGAGACTAACATTTGGATATTGATAACTTCATGATTTGAATTATTGGCATTGTAAGTTTATTTGTGCTGGCAGTTTACGCACTCTGTAACTGACCTACTGAATTTAGTTCATAAGGATGTTTAATTGGTGGGGGGAAAATGTGTAAGTTCAATATATGAGAATTAATCATAGAAGACTTAAGAATTTAAAAGGTGGTGTAAACAGATTTTTATAAAGTGTTAATATTTATTTTTATATGATATCATATATTTATCACTTTTATTTTTTCTCATTCCATCTCTCTGGATATATACAATTAGGATGGTGTCTATAGGAATATTTTCAAAAAAATAAATTTGATGTAACCAGAAAATGATGTAAAGAAAGTGACTTCTCGAATTCAAAAGGCCAAAGTTCCAGGGTATGCTATTTTAGCTCATTTTCCATCTTACCATGTTTGTGTGACGGTGCCATATCAACTGCAAGATCCATACATGTATCGTCAATATCGTCATATCTCTGTCACGGGAGATTCTGGAAAATTAATTTCAACTTTTTGCTATTAATGTGTCGATTTGCGTTAAAAAGTCTATAAATTATATTTATTTCAACATTTTTAGTGATAAATTTTATATTAATTTAATTATTAAAAATAAATACAAATCTAAACACACTAATTGTGTACGTTACGTATTTGAAATGTAATTCACCTTAGAATCTTTTTTCAAAATAAAAGTAAGCCCATTTGTTCAAACATAAAAAAAGTAATTTATGATGCATCCTTTTTAAAATTCTTAAATTATTTGTTTAGTTTCTAATGTAATACTAAATAATTTCTTGAAGTTTTATTCTTTTATAACTATTATAAAATTTTTAAACACGTATTTAACTGAAAGAATTCCTTAAACCACACACACACAATTTGTCCTTAATATCATATTACCCATGCAGAAGGATTAAATATTGTTGGACTATTTTGAGCCACTAAAGGGACTTATTGGACCCTATAAGCCCATTAATGCCTAATTGTTTTTCTTATTGTTATACTTTAATTTGTATGAGATTATGGTCCTCTAAACCTGAATAATTAGTCCTCTTAATTTTGCATTGTTTATATTAAGTCTCTTAAACATGTGTAAAATTAGCTTCATTCATAAAATTTGATTGGGCTTCCTCAATAATGTACTAATTACGCATCTAATAAAATCATATGAATTTCTAACAGTGGCATAATACATGTGGGAAAACATCGAGCTATGGAAATAATTCTCTCATGTCAACTATTGACATGGTTTACCCTCACCATTGTATATATTATTTATTTATATTGCTTTAGACTAATGTAGGTGTTTTACGTTAATCAAAGATCTATATCCTTTTCTCAGGATATTATACTTTGTGATCTTCCTTTCTATAAGACATTCAATTTTAAGAAGAAAACAAAATAAAAATAACACATTAAATGACGAGTAGACAAATTCATCTTTCCTTGCAACACAATGATTTGCCAAAGTTTTATAGAACAGCAGAAGGGTATTCCATTATAATTAACAGTGAATATTGTACATATGCTTGATTTTTTGTAATAAAAAATATGTAATAATTATGATAATTGTTCACTTTTTTTTGTTTGTTTGAATGTAACAGCAAAGTCATTGCACCTCCTTTCATTGTGGAAAGGTGGTGACAAATTGAGATTTTTCCAAGCAGATTTACATGAAGAAGGAAGCTTCGATGAGGCTGTAAAGGGATGTGATGGTGTGTTTCATGTAGCTGCTTCAATGGAATTCAATGTTAGTGAGAAAGAAAACACTGGTAATGCCATTAATGTTGCTTTGAGTGAATCATACATACACAACATGGACTTGAGTTTGAATTTTGAGGAATGGTAACTGAGACATAGTCCTTGTATTGAACTTGCAGAGGCCTTTGTGCAAGAAAATATCATTGCACCTGCAATCAAAGGAACCATAAACCTTCTCAAGTCTTGTTTGAAATCCAATTCTGTGAAAAGGGTTGTTTTTACATCTTCCATAAGTACCATTACTGCCAAGGACAGTAATGGGAAGTGGAAGCCTATTGTTGATGAATCTTGCCAAATCCATCCAGATAATGTGTGGAATACTAAAACAAGTGGATGGGTAAGTAGTGCTTTTTCTAGTTGTTCACTTGCATTGTATATAAAATTGGTTCCTTTCCTTAAGCACTTTTTCTGTTGAGGCAGGTTTATGCACTTTCAAAGCTTCTCACAGAAGAAGCGGCAGTTAAATTTGCAAAGGAGAATGGCCTTGATCTTGTGTCAGTCATAACAAGCACTGTTGCAGGCCCCTTCTTCACTTCTAATGTACCAACAAGTGTTAAAGTTCTATTGTCACCATTAACAGGTGATTTTATCATCAATCTACACGTTATTCATAGAGAGAGAGAGAGAGAGAGAGAGAGAGAGAAGCTAAGTTGTCTCGAGAAGAAAATGTGTGATCCACTTACTGTGTTTTATGTCTATAAATGTGTTTGAAATGAAAGCATATTACTAAATAAATAAGTATTAAAATTAAATATATTTTTCAATAACTTTTGTTGAGATCATTTCAACTATAGACATGACTTAATTAGAGTTTAAAAAGATTAAGACAATCCTCACTTTACAAGTTAGCTTTTAGGTTGAGTTTGGCTTAAACTCAAATTTAAGATGGTAGCAAAACCTATCGTAAATTTGATATTGAGCTAACCTTCACTATAAAATAAAAAAGCCTGGCCTTACAAGTTTTCCTAATTGAACTTACTTGATCCCACAACTTTGCCAGTGCAGTATAAAAAAAATAGTTCTATAATCTTCACGCTCTAAATGTTCAATTTTGGACATGAAAGAATGCGTTCAGATTCTACATTGAATATAGATATAGCTACATGCACTAAGCACAAAATTAAGAACTTCCAATTAATTCCTGAATTTTGGTCTTACAAATGGCCATCAACCCGTGTGAACTTTTGTTCTTTTATGCTGCCAATTGCATGCGTGAACTCGAGTATCTTTTATGCCATGTTCCCCAAAAATTTTGTACCTCCATGCTTCAATGTGCATCATAAAGTACAAACAATACAGCATTATACATTTAGACTTGTGTGCTTAAAATTCTACATGAGTTAATATACTTTTGAATTTTCATTCGACCATTTGACATTTGTTGACTATATTGGTCATATGTGAAGGTGAAACTGAATACTTCAAGATATTATCTGCTGTGAATGCACGAATGGGATCAATTGCTTTAGTTCACATTGAAGATATATGCAGTGCCCACATATTCCTAATGGAGCAAACCAAAGCAGAAGGTCGATACATATGTAGTAGCCAAAGTTGTACATTGTCAAACTTGGCTACTCTTCTTACCAAAGAGTATTCTTGTTCAAATTTGAAAAGGTAACGTTCTTCCCTTCTATGAGTAGACTCATTTTCATATAGATTCTTTTAGATTTTTGGTACATATGGCTTATTTTATTCCTACAATTATTGCAGGAAGACCAAGAAAAATTATGACCAAGTTCCTTCTGAGATTTCATCAAAGAAGCTAAACGATTTGGGTTTTAGTTACAAGCATGACCTTGAAGATATAGTTCATCAAACAATTACGTGCTGTCTAGATTATGGTTATTTACCTCCTGTTTAGCCAGTAATCATTCAATACCGTTGTAAATGATTCTAAGCAATTGAGCTTTTGTATTTGTTTTTTTTACACAAATCAATGAAGTCCACTTTCAGACCACCAACTTTCTTGAATTTTTGGTATATGTTGTTTTCTCTTAAGGTTGGTTACAAGAATTCATAGCCATCATTAATTGTCAATAGAAATATAGGCTCGACACAAAAAATATCAAGCGTGATGTATGCCGAGAAGTAGCGGTGGAAACAAGTTGAGAGTCTTGAGACCAATTACTGAAAGTTCATGTCTAACTTGTACATAAAAAAGAATGTGCGAGTTTAACTTGTTTAAACAAGACACTTAAATTTTGTGTAGGGATTGTTAAAAATTTTGAAGTATGAACTTTACTCGTTAGCTTATTTATGATTTATTTTGTTGTTGAATTTTTCTTTAAAATTAAACTTTGTTTATAAATTTAGTATTTAATAGATAACTTCATACTAAAAGAATAAAGTAAAATAATAAAAAAATATAAATTTATATTTATGAAGATGACTTTACAATTAAAAATGAAATATTTGACAATGAAAATAGATTTCTTTGAAAAAAATGGTCATTTATTTAAAATATAAAACTTGCTAGTTAAAATTAAATAAATGCTACACACACTTATAACATATTAAGACTATCTCTATTACTAGATGGGTGCAATGAGAAAGAGGCATGTACTCTCTCTTACTACACCCATTTAATATTGGAGAGAAATTTTTCCAATATATACTAATCAGCTATTCGTAAACTATAAATGTCAAACATAAAATTTGAGTTTAACTCATTTGAATAGTTGAACGCAACTTTTAGCTTGGGTTTACAAACTAGAATTAGCATTAATAAATTAATCTCAAATAATTTACAAACAACTCAACTCAAACTCATTTATATCCCTAACAATATCCTAGTTGTTAATGAGTTAAAAACACCAAGAACTTGTGTCTAATCTCAATCAATAAACTTTAATGGTGATTGGCTCTTGTTTTGAGTTTGTAAAGTGAATGAAGGCTAGCCAAGAGGTTAATAGAGGCAAACCTGCTGAATGAATGAGAACTAATTGTACTTTCACAAGTAAATATTTTGCGTCTAGATTGGGGACCAAACTCATTGTCAAGAGGACAAGTTTAAAAATCACTTCAAAATATATCTAAGCTAATCTTCAATGTAGCTAGTCAACTAATACATCATAGTTTTTATAATGCTGCCACATTCTAAGTAGCTTTGAATAGTTTTCACCATTTCTGAATCCCTGATTTTGTTATATAAATCTTTCATATGATTCATAGATACATTCATTACGGTTCTTAAGCCAATTTTGGTTTGCTAATCCTTCCTAAGTACTATGGTTTGAGGTGTATTTTGAGTAATGCTTGCAGAGGTCTTAGTTGGTCAAAATTGTGGAGCTGACTGGAAAGTTAGCAAACATTAAAATCATTGCTATGTATAAAAAAGATCCGAAAGATAGATCTGAGAAAAATTCGTTACGAGCTACCTATAGGCAAAGGGTAACACAAGGAGAAAAATTAATTTTAGAAGTCTATTTATATCAAATTGTAAGCAATTTTGGGGGAGGTTTAGCTATTTGGTATCTTGATGTCTTAGCCTTTCACTGTTTTTTACCCTTTGTCTTTATTGTATATCTCTATCAGGAATAGGTGAAGTCTACTTCGAACATTGAAGAGGAAGTCCCTAAAATGATTCATAAACCTATGCTCAGATGATTAGCCTAATAAGATTCATATGGCTTTTGCAGCCTTCCTGCAAGTCAAATGCACCAGGCTCTTACATTCAAGTTCAATTTTACCAAACTACTTGACATCAAAATTTGAAATGTATGGAGTTTCATTCAATGACCTCAATTCCCTAACCAGGGAAGTGTAATGACGGTTGGTATACATTTATGAGATGCATGTGCCATGAGAAATTGAAAGCTGTACAGATGTTACAGTATTGAAGTGGCATTACCAACCCCTACCCAGGTACACGCTCTTAGGAGTTAAGGCCCTCAAAAGTGACATATAAAATTACCATATTCGTACTCATTTCTGCATGACAGTATAGAAATAAGAACACTTAATCTTAATCATATAAGAGTTTTGCTAGCCAGTGTTCCTAGAAAGATGGTTAGAGAATTAACAAAATTTGAGAGAGTATTAGAAATTACAGAGTAATTTATTGTTACCCTTTATAATAAAAAAAATTATTTTTATTCCTTTACTAATACCATAGTTAACATTCGCCATTACATAATCATTTATAAATGAGTAAGACTAAATTTGAATATAACATACGCATACATACACACACATATACATATATATATATATATATATAAAGAGAGCGGGATGGGTCCCTAACCTTATCTTAACCGTTACTGTTCACATCAGGATGATCCAATAAACTCCAAGGAAGGATAAATGACAAATAACAATGAAATATTATGTAAATATTTACAGCACAAAGGTAAGAAGAGACAAGACATATATATGCCTCAACTGTGATTATCTCACTTCTAAATGCCAATCCTTCCTTATATTTGTCCTCAAGTTTGGAGCTACCTGTGTCCGACTTGAACCAGTTAATGGAAGCAGGGTCACATGTCATCTGTTTGAGGTTGCTACATTAAATACACTGTGACATCTTGCCATATATGCACTAGTTAGGAACTTACACAGTTTGAGGAACGGTACATGTCCAGTTAACATAACAGGCTCAACAGGTCAACCACATCACCCGATTTCACACTATAATATTTAGTATATACCTGCTTAGATGTAACCGATTATAGTATAATTATCAAGACTCTATATTCAGTTAATTTAGACCTAGTCATTTAATGGGTACTTATGGAAACCGATCTTCAGTTGCATTAAATTAAACCAAATATTTTTGCACTTTGTCCAAGGCTACACCACTTAATTAAACGTGCATACAACTAAGATTCTTACATTTTTCAATTTGACAATGGGAAATTTAATAAGGCTAGTAGGTTATTACCCATTTAAATTGCCCTATTTTTTAGACCTTCAATTAATATAACACCGACACAAAGTTAGAACCTGCTTGCAACTTTATTCAAGTTGAAATTTTGGAGGGACAATTATTAAATCTGACTTAGTTTCATGTCATTATGGTTTTGAGTATTGAAGTTGCCTAATGAAGAAGAAGTTTCACTGCCATTTAAGAAAAAAATTACAAATGTATGAATAGGAGGTTCATACAATAAACATGAAGGGGCACAAGTGACTTGGGTGAAAGAATCAAAACTCTTCAAAAGATGAAGGGCAAAGAACCTCCATAGAAAGGCCAAAATAGGGGGATCCACAAAACTACACAATATGTAAGGCATTTTGATTTCGATCCTTTTGGTTCAAGGTTTGCAAATTACCACAAAGCAAGGAAGAAGAGCTCTAGGATTGAGCAAATAAAGCTCCTCAATATTTGAATAAAGGCCTACTTTCCCAGCCAATGAGTCAAATCCTGTCTGTGCTGCCATTTCCTGAATGTTCTCTAAGGGTCTATGAACCCTGCCAGCTATCACTCTGCAAACTATCAGTGCCTTTCTTAGTGATGGTTCATCACCAAAAATCTCAATAGACTCAAAAGCTCTTCCACTTGTGGAAGTTGTGAAAACACCAATACCACCCTTGAGCTCATTCTTGGCTGAAAAGCCATTCCTTATAATTCTGCAAACACAACACTTTTCTGCTAGGCAGAGACTAGAAGAACCATTGAGACCAAGGGAGCATGCAACAGTGGTGCCATAGAACCTCAAAAGCTCATTTCCATCAGCAAGGCACCTAGGATGCTTCTTCTGAAGTTTGCTAGCTTTGATTTTCACCATCTCTCTGTACTCTTCGAATCTAGCCAAAGTCTTTTGCATGTTGTGCACCTTCAAAACCCTCTCGATTCGACCACACTGGTTTTCAGACTTTAACCAACTAGTCCTGCATATGATCTCCACTATTTTCCTTGATGAATCGCCCTCAGCAAGTTCAGTAACTGTCCAGAGAAAAAAATTTCTGTTAAAATTCAAGTATATGATAATTTGAATTTGTACAAAAGAGAGAAAAAGTAACAAACTTGAAGTCACTAAACACTTCAATCAATTTTAAATTTCGAATACTTTCAAACAATTCAGAATTATGTGGGTCGGAGAAAGAGACAGACAGTTTCTTCTAGATATTTTGAAGGTAAAGGGGTTGGAGAATCCTAAGCATAGTTCTGAACTAAAAAGGTAATGCAAAAAGGAAAATTAATTCTGTTGTCCCTAACTGAAAAAGTATGTTAATTTATAATACTGCTCACCGCAACTTAAAAATCTATGTCTATCAGATATAGATGTGGCCAGAAAGTTTTTGGTCAGAAGAATGTTTGGATGACCTACTATGAGGGTCAGATAACAAATGGAAGAAACAGAAAAAATAAAAAATAAAATGAGCGAGAACAGCCAAAAGGACAGTGAAGGTAGGAGGCTATAAAGTGGAAATTCTCCACTTGAAGATGCAAAGAAACCAACCATGAAAATCAGATGAGATAAAAGAAGAAGAAAATAGTGTTACCAGCATGCTTGGACAGATGATGGGCTTCAGCAGCATCCCATTTGTTAAATTGCTCTCCACATTTGTGGCAAGTCACAGTTGAAGACCCATTAGAATCTGTCTCAAGAGACAACCTATTGCTAGAATGAAGTCCTCCACCATGAGGACCAGACCCTTCTTTATCTGATAGAAGGAAAGGTGATTTCCTTGGAGGAGTGGATGAAGTCCTAAAAGAAGGGTTAAAGTAGTGCATTGTAGGGTGCCCTCCAGGGCCAGGAGTCCCAGGCCTCAAAGTACCCACAAAAGTTGAACCACCACTACCACCTCCACTACCATTGTTTCCACCACCACCACTACCAACCCCTTCTTGAAATCCTCCATATCCAGTGATTTTAAGCTCACACCTTGAGTTGCTCAAAATCACTTCATGAGTTATAGGGTTGAGAAACTCGCTGCTCCCAATGGATCTTGGACTGCAACTTGGTGGCTTATCAAGATGCCTCTTGCTTCCATGAATCACATCTTTGAGATTTGCAATGGACCTAGAACACCCTGATCTTCCTGCCCTTTTGGTCAAGATTGTGCTCAAATGCTTCCTTGATTTTGGGTCATGAACATCAGATGGCTCAGATTTGCAGTGTAAAGACCTCTTCAAAGAGAACCACACAGTTGGCATATTATCCTTAATGTTCCCTTTTCCTTCTCTTTTCTACTTTCTCCACCTTGGTAGTTAACACTACACTACACTTCAACAAAACTCCTAAGTTTCTGTGCTCTTGAATTTAACTCCCTTACAATGCTCATTCTCAAAAGGCTCCATATTTCCCTTTACCACCTTCCCCTTCCTTTTTCCTAAAACAAAAAGATTATAACTTCAGCCACTTTCTGCTTTAAGCATGGAACCCCTTTTTGTTTCCTGAAATTTCCTTCCACTTTCCAAGAAACAACTCAACTCACACATGCATCAGAAGGGTACCTAACAGCAAAAGATGTTTCAGAAGAGAGATCAAAAGAGCACAGTAAACTACTATCGAACACCCTGAAAACTCTCAAGCACAGGTGTCAACAGCACTGCTTCATCACACAGAATGAGTTTGGCAATTTGCATAGGATGGTGTCCGTGACCCCATCACAAAGCAAGTGAGACAAAAGGGACTCAAATACATAGAATGAATGAATGATAAAACATGAAAGAGCATTTGTTAAAACGCGGGTGTTTGAAAATAAAACCAAAGAATCTTTGGCTATTGGATATGGGATTTCGGAACATGACAACTAACTTGGACAAACTCAGTACTGTTCCGCTATTAATGTGAGTTACTGAAGTCTGAAGCTGTACTTTGTCTTTTTACATTTAATTACCATATATACATATATATAGATCAAGATTATGTTTCTTAAAAAAAAATTAAATTTTTTTGAAATATTTGGATAAGCTTAAAAAATAGAATTTGTTAAAAAAGTTAAAAGCGCATGTTTCATAAAATTTTTAAATAAAGTTACTTTTTTTACAAAATCTTCAAATTTTTTTAGGTTTAAAGAAAGGGTCTGAGAACTAGAGTAGATAAGAAGGCAAATATACTCAATTCATCTAAGTTATACATAATAAGATGCATCTACCTTGTAAGTGATCGAAAACATATAATTATGAACCCGAAATTTGGTATGCCAAATCGAAGACACATAAAATAGTGCAGAACACGAAATAATTAAGTGAATTATTTTTTCGGAACAAATTAAGGGTGGCTTTTAATATTTTGCTATTCTGCGAACACATGAATGTATAGTGTTCACCTTTATTTAATGGGGATGGAGTCTAACCCAAAAATAATGCCACATGCATTCAAGTTGGACCACCCAAGTGTTTATTTTACTTTGCCCAACTTTGAACAATTTCCTAACCTTGGAATTAACTGGGATGGCCCAATAAACAAATAATTAAACAGTGGATTTAAACAGAGGAGAATATAAATTTTGTCCCCAGTTATGATCTTTTTCACCTTGAATAACACGGCACTACCATATTCTAAACAAAAATTGGCATGTACCATTAAACCCATACACCATCTAAATAATTTAATATTATCATAATACAAATTATTACAACTTAAATATTTCTCAGAGTGATAGTTAATGTTTCAATTAAGATTTGGACCATAATGACTGACAACTAGACAGTGATTAATATGCACCACGACATTTTGTCAGTGAACTTAAATATGAACAATTGAAAACATGTCTGAAATTTTCCTCTTTCATATCTGCAGCTTTTACAAGCAAAGTGCTTTTATATCTCGAGCACTTTTTCACCAATATGAAGAAGCAATCCCTTATGCATCAGACAGTGATTTGAAGCTCAGTTTCAGCAAATTTCTCTGATGGCTAAACGACATGTGCCCAAATGTTCAAGCTTTTGTTTCAAATTCGTTTTCAATAGTCTCTCAATTCTCAAGGTCATAACTTGCATATTTTTGCATGTGCAAATGTCAAATTGTGTGTTTGGTGAGTGCTCGTAAACTTAATTTTAAATGGTTTTAACTTTTAGATGGAGCCAATATTTAAGTGCATAAAATGTCATCTATATTCATATTATCATGTTTACAAATCACCATAATAGTGCTGTTGAATGGCCACTACAATATCTTGTTCACAGAGTGTATATATATCTGTAAACCATGAATGATTGTGATCTAGCCCCACTATTTTTCTTTTCTGTTTTTGGTCTCTTGGAGACATCAATGTGACTAATACTTCTCACCCTAAATTTGGGGATTAGTGGGCTATAATTATGAACCCGAACTTCAAAATATTAAAGTGGGCTCTTGAAAAATATGAGAGCTAATTATTAGCTTTGACCACTACAACTATTTTATCAAGTTGTGAAAATCGAAAAGGTGGTGAAATAGATGCAAGATATGAGAGAGATTTGAAGGGGTAAATATTTCTATTACTACATAACCAAGGTAAATTTGGCGAGGCTCACTCATTTTTCTAGTCTTCATTTCTTGTCGTTATGCTGCCCTTAATGGATTAGACAAAACATGTCGAAGTGCTTCTAGTGACATGAAAACTATGGAGAGGGTTAAGACAAAGCCAAGATTTTAGAATTTAGGGCCATAATTAAGTCCCTGTGAATCTGAATTCAAATTAGAGTGATGGAAGACAAAAGCTAAGCCAGAGAGTGAAACATGGGGCAGTGTCCTACAGAGTGTCACTGATGATGGTTCGGACATGTGGTGCTACAATCCATTATTCAATTCATTGATTAAATGCAAGCACATGCTAGCCTCCCAATTTGGCCTTTGGACCATTTTTGGTTCAATTTAAAACAAAATATAATATCAGCCCATTTTTTTACTTAAAAAAAAACATTAACATCGGTTTTTAAAATTAATTTCAAATATTTAAAAATAATAAATTTATTTATAAAAATATTTATTACATTATAAATTTAAAATACAACAATTTTTAATAAAAAAAATTATTTTAAAATATTTAAAATCATCCTTAATAAATTTGGTTTTAAAATAAAGACAAATATCAATTAGGATTGTAAGAGTATTAGTTAAAAATCAAAAATAATTTTTTATTTTAAAGTGTTATTAATATATTTTTATCATATATCAAACATGGTTTTTAACAATATATATATATATATATATATATATATATATTAATTCCTTAATTTGTATTTAACAAGAACATTAAATAAAATAAAAGGAATAATAAAATACTACATGTTCTTTTTAAAAACACAAGATTTCTGCAAATAAAAATTAATATTAAATCGTTTTAAATTTGAAAACACATCATAATCTCCTAACTTCATGAAAATAAAACATAGTATCTGTTATTTTGTTCTGATTGTGTTTCTCCTTCAATTTAGGAGCTTCTCAATTTATGAGGGAGAGGTGGACGTTTCAGAGGATTGATGTTGGAACAACATCTGAAAAGCTTGTCTCATGTGTACGCTTAGCTGTGTTGTGTATCATCTATGCATGCCCCTTCAAGATCATCTTAGTTTTAAGGAACAGGGCCTTCTTCAATTTTAATATCTGATGCCAGTTGTAACCTTCAGATTCAATTCCTCTTCTATTGTCTCACATCTTTGTCTTTTCTTTCGTGATCAAAAATAAAATATTTGTCTCTGTTTATGACCCTCTCTTCAAAGAGTACTGTTAATTTGATAAGTACAAACATTGCAATTATTTTAGTCTCTGCTTTTATAAAACAAAACATAGTTCCTTTTTATACACAGCAATTGATCTGCAAAAGGAAAACTTCATCAAAATCGGAACATCTTTTGGCAGACAATTTGTTTTGTTTAAAGTTTTAAAAATAGATTTGTTCAATCTAGCTGCTCCGAATTGAACTAATAAAATGTAGAGTTTGAAATTTAAAATTAAATTTTTTCAAAATATAAAAAAAACTTATTTTTATATATATTAATTGTTAAGTTCTTTCTCAGTTCTTATTTATTGTGATATTTAAATTAATAAAATACTCATTCGTTACTCATATAAAAAGATGTTTTTTTATTTAATTTAACCTTTTATTTCTATAAATATTTTTGAAATATACTTTAAATTTATGAGATATAATTATACTTTACTGGTCTTGAAGAATTAATTATTTCTTTATTATAAAAAAGACTAGAAAGAGTATATTTTTTTTAATATTATACAATATATTAAGGGAGAGATGTAATGTGAATTTTTTTTACACTACTTTTCTCTTTAATGACGCCACCCTATTTTATAAAAAATTAAAATATATTAATTATTTTTAAAATTAAATTCTAAAAGTAACTTACCTATTGCAAAGATTCTATCCAACTATGACTATCTAAGGGTGTCTTGAACTTTTTGCACCTCCCTTTTTTCTTATATATATTACTCTTTTTTCTTCAGAAATATGCTCTTATATTATAAAACTCAATTCCGAAAGCTATTAAAATAACATTTTGAAAATTTAATTATGAAAGTGTGTTTTCAAGAGTTTTCAAAACTGTTTATTGAATGTTATTTTGTAAAATAATAAACCTCCTAGAAACTTTATCAAATTTCTTTTGCGAAAAAAGTCAGTAATTTTAAATCTTATTTGGTTATAGATTTTTTGTATTTGAATTTTAAGATTGCTAAATTGAATTTAAATTTAAACAAGCATATTTGATATTTTTTTATGCATCTGTCATGCACTATTATAATGCTCTAGTGATTTAACATTTTTACCTTTACAACTGCTGCTAACCTTTTTAATCTGACCTTTCGAATCCCAAAATCAAAAGTACCAGCCCTGGCAATCAGGATAATCACGCATTCCCTTTCTTTGCCCCAAAAGATTTCAAACTAAATTACTTGGGCATTAGCTATTTCTATGAAGTATCTTAAATTACTAGATTTACCACATTCTTAGCTTTGATTTACACCTCTTTACCCAAGTGAATTGAATGGCGTCATCTGCTGTCAACAAACACACATGATTCCATCCACTGACTAACAAAGATGATCTATTTTCCTAGATGGCTAAAAAAATATATCAAAATTCACAAAAAAGAAGGTATCATGCTATATCCAGCACCTTTCAAAAAATAAACTCATTGACATATTAGATTGAATAAAGAATTATAAAAACAAAAAATTAAGACCCTACATAACTACAGTTTCAGAAGTGGCTGTCTCAAACTATGAAGCTAAATCCCAATGGGGGCACAACAATGATGATAACAAGTAATTCCACTGCTTGAAGACAGCTCCAGCTAGACCTGTACATATGAATTCTATTTGAGAAGTGTATAAAACCATGCCACTTCAAACCATTCATGATTTCACATATGTATCATCCCTCTGCAAATGTAAGCCAAAAAAACAAAGAATTCAAATTCAAATATCGAAGATTAATAGTAACATAATACCCTACAAGACTAGAGAAGGAAAAGTAAGGCAATATTTGACCCAATTTTTTGAGCTTCTTAAACGGATAAACTATGTCTAGCACAATTCTTTGAAAACTCTGAATAATATATTTTTTAATGAAGAAAACATTAAAAAAAAAAAGAACTTTTAAATAAGGTAATTTTAGGAAGTTCTAAAAATTATAAAATCACCAAACTTTAGCTTGAATTTGAGAGCTCTTGTTTTTAACTTTAAATTTGAAGTAGCTTTTAGGATTCAAAAACGTAAAGCTAAATGTTAACGAAGTCTTCAACTATGCTAAGTTATCCAAATTCCAAAGACATGTTAGTAAGGACAACAGTTTCAATACCATTTCCAACTTGAATCTATGGGCTGTCCTCATCTGAACTAATGTCACCCACCCTCCTTTCGGCGATTGCTGGAAAGAGCCGCTGACGAAAATCAGAAGGTGGTGGACGCGTTTCAGAGGAAGATGCTCCTCGAGGAGTCTCTTGTTTTAGTGTTTTTGCTGCTGGCTTCTTCTGAGTATCTCTCACCTCCTTGCATACCTTGTCTAGCATTACTAAGAAGTCTCGTATTACTACAAACAACCGTAAGCCTTCATCCTTCCCAGCATTCCCGTGAAAGTAATCGCCAGTGCTCTTCACCAGTGCCATGATTTTTTTCTCTTCTTCCAGCAGTTTCATAACATCAGCCTCGGCATTCTTCACAAAACTTTTCACTGTCTCACCAAACCCCCTATCTTCCTCCACATTCTTCATGGTTTTGTTTACCAAGTCTTGTGTTTTTATGAGACCATGCCCAAGTTTGGCGGCGGTTCCTGTTAGGCTGTCCGCGTCTATAATTGCTGCTTTTTTAACATTCTTGAGTTCACTGCTCAAGTGAGAAACCACCTGAAGACCGATTTCACGGTAGTGTTCTTCTGTTTCTTGAGTTCTATCATCGAGAAGATCATCTGATTTAACACTAGATGAACTCTGGCTCTCTTTTGCCTTTCGAACGGCTTTTATGCCCTCAGAACGGATAATCTCTAGAACTACAAAGTGTAAGAGTGTGGTCTTGCCATCTGTTCCTTTTACATCAGATAATTTCAGAAGAGTATCAAGTTTAAATGCTTGTGCACCACCACGGAATGTTCCGTCATTCATTCGGTTGCCGGTTTTGAGAACAGCTTCAAGAAGCTTGAGGAATAGCCTACTGTTTCTTAGTTCCTTGCAAGCAACCTGACACACCAGATGAAATTGAACGAAGAATAAGATTTCTTTCCCAGGTGAAAGGGAGATAAAAGAGAAACAAATATGAAGACAGAGATTCCATAAACAAAGGAATTACAATGAGAATTACAGAACATTGCTGTGTTTGTGTCTGTGTATAAACTGTTTCAAATTGACATACCATAAAATTAAATTGATTATGCAATGTTCAAAAGCAATTTTTAAAACCAACAGATTATTTAACTGCAATCATTAAACTCTTAAATTTCAAATTAATCATAAATTTATTCGGATTACAGGTACATTTCTTAATATAAATATGCTTGCAAAATAAAACAGGATAACAAGTAGTGATAAAGTGATCTGTCCGATGAAAAACATAATTCTGTAAGTTATTGAATGTTGCAAGATAAGAAGTTTAACACGAATGTAAAATGATCCTTGACCCTGTTTGTGGCTGCTCATAATTTGTATTGGGTAGGGGTAGCAGTAAAGCAAAAATTTGCACATTAATACAGCATCATTTTGGCATTACTTATGCAACAAATGAATTACTCTCTGCCCAAGTTTTGACAGTTTACTAAGTTACCTATGATATCCTACAATTGGCAGTAATTAGGATGATACAGCACACTCTAGTCATTCTATGATTTTAGTTGACATTAGTTCAACTACAAATATTTAAGGTCGCAATCATCGCAGCATAAGCAATGCAACAGCAGGTTTGATGCAAATTAGACCATACCTCTAAAATGGCAAAAGATTCCATAGTACTTGTGAGCTCCTCTTTAAGTGTGGTCATGAAAAGCAGAGCTTCCATTCGCTTAAATGCAAATGGAACGTCAACCAGGGCTTTCAGGAAACGGTCAGCAGGCCCAAGTTGAGATAGCTCACCAGTAAAAAGTCTAAGCTTAAGTTCTTCGTCTGATGTTGGTGCCATCTTCAGCAAGGTTTGAAGGAACTCCGAGGGAAGCTCATGTCCTGATCAGTCAAAGAGAGAGGTTGCAAAGCTTTCATACAATTGGAACAAGACAACTAAACAGCTATGCTTTTAAATTTCTATATATTATTATTCCCAACAAATAAATATCATAGTGATTTACCACCAGTACTACCACAATCTATCTTCCCCAGTACTCAACATTGTGATAATCAAATAATTTTAATATTCAAAGCTACCAACACCACTACAACAATTTATACCCCTCAACTGCCAGGAAATGGTGCTAGTTTGAAAGAGTCCGTATGATACTGCAAGCTACAATGTTTTAGGGCAACTGTGGGTGCATAAGTGTGTCCTAGATAATGTGTTTCCCCAGAAGAACCTAATATTTCTATTACAGTTATCAGCAATTTTCGAGGAAAATTGAGGGAACAAGAAATCACCTTCATAAAGTGCATCACAAACTTCTTCCATTGTCACATTCAATGCACGCAACAGAATCAATAAATTTTGCGATTTCTTTTTGTCAATGATATGCATATACTGAGGTGAAGGGTCTTGGGAGGAAGACTCTTTCTGTCTTTGACCATTGTTATAGCCAAAAAGCGTCTCTATCATTTCTTCATTAAACCTGTTAAATGTTTGCATTTGAGAGTATTAGCAGCAAATGATAAAATATCTCTGGTAAAACAAAAGAGGTTTGGTATTTATTTCTTACTGGAATGATCCTGATTTGATCTGATTCCAAACCATTGATTGATTGGGGTTTGCTTGAACCTTATCCCAGAAAAAAGGCTTTAGCTTGGCTTTGGGAGCATCAGCTGCACCTTCTGCATTAGCTTCAACTGTAGCCTTTGATCCACTAGCTAAAGGCTGAGCCATCTTTGGGCCAATTGGGGGAGGGGCTCGAGGAGGAGGTATGCCACTCTTAGGAGGCGGTGGTGGATGAGGACCAGGTTTTGCACCAACTGGTGCTGGGAGTGGTGGAGGAGGAGGACCAGGTTTAGCACCAAATGGTGCTGGGGGTGGTGGAGGAGGAGGACCAGGTTTGGCACCAGCTATTGCTGGAGGTGGTGGAGGGGGAGGACCAGGTTTTGCTGGTGGTGGAGGTGGGCCAGGTTTGGCACCAGCTGATGCTGGGGGTGGTGGTGGAGTGCTACCAATACCAGGCTGTTGAGGAGGGGCAGGAGGAGGAGGAGCTGCAGCAACAGAAGCCACAGCAGTATCAGCATCACCAGAAGGCCTAAAGGAAGGTGGCTCGTGGGGAAGAGGGTTCAACCTGCCTGGGGGAGGTTTTAAAGGAGGCATTCCCGAGGGACTGGCTCCCACCCTCCCTGGAGGAGGTTTAAGTTCAAATGGTGATCCGGCAGCAGCACTAAAGGCTCCTATTGATTGGCTTTCTTGCACTGAGTTCTTCTTATTGTCTACTAAACTATTACTTGATGACTGAAACCCAAGTTTCTCCCCTTTGATTGAATTTCCAAAAGCAAAACTAGAAGGACCTGCAGCACAAACGTCAATTTTGTCAAGACTAGTACAACATATTACAAACTACAAAGGTATGAATGAATGGTAACACTACGTACCAACAGAGTAGTCACTCATGCTCAAGCTGAGAAGGGGCCTCTCATCATTTAGTCTAGCTCGGCCAGTCTTACAATACCCACTACAGCATAAAAAGAGCAGTGCTGCAGCTATAAATGTCACCAATGCAGTTATAACGACAGCAAGAACAACTGTTCTTTTATTACTATGCTTATCTTCCTGTTTGTTAATGTCAGAAGATGGAGGAGAAGAAATTTCTGAAGCTGCTGGTGGTGTCAATTTTGGGAAAAATGTTGATGGAGACAAATGAGGATGCTGAGGACTAGGAACTAGAGGTGCTGGAGCAAGAGGCGATGGGGCCAGGCTGGGTTCAGACGATGGTGCTAAACTGGGTTCAGGAGATGGTGTTAAACTTGGTGTAGGTGATCCAACTGCAGGGCCAGGACTAGGTGGTTCTGATATGTGCTGAAGCAAAACACGGCCAAAATTTCTTCTAGGAACATTGGATCTGGAAAAAAGTGATCCCAAATGACTGACATGCAAAATCTTGGAATCATCCTCTCCTCTTGAGATGGGTAATGGAAGATTATTTTTTTCCAAATAGTGAAGAAAGTTCTCCTCGAATTGAGGCTGGCATGCACTGATCAATTTTTGGATGTCTGCTCGCTTTAATGGTTGAATCTCTGAATTGATTTTATTGGTGTGGCCAGACAACTCCTGAGACAGCCATAAATCACAATCTTCAACCTCTTTCATTAAATGAAATAAATCTTCCTGGCAATTGGTCCATAAGATCTTCACCTGCATTCATCAAAATTAACAATTTTTAGAGTCTACCAATCCATTCTTAGCAACAATGGAGCACATAATATAAACCTTTTATGTTATCAAATCTGAAAAATAATCATAAAACAATCAAGGCCCTATTATTTAGTGTCAGATGACAATTAGCAACAATTACAAAAGAAAATTTAGAAAATTATCTTTATAAATTAAAACACATGCTAAAGCTATATCATGCAAAATGCAGTAGAATTTCAGAGCAACCTGGTTGAGGTAGAAGCAAGATGAATTCATAAATTATACCATCATTCTTGATCAAGTTCACGTGTTTCATGTTTCCATGTACACACAGCACATGTAAAAAAGTACTTACTAGATGATCATCTCATGGAATTGAAATGTATATAGTACATACTCAGGCAGTCATATAACATACTAAAACTAATAATTGGCCAGTGCAAGATCTCCAGTGATCGTTAAGATACATGGAAGCTTAAATTCTGCAACTAATAGCTAGAAACAAAAATGATGGCCACAGAAAAATCCAAAACAAGAGAAAGCACAGTCCACTGTTCAATATCAGACACCGATGTCATGCTAGAAACTAGTGGTAAAATGACAACTCCAGTCCTTCCTCCCTTCTTAACCAATATTCCACATGAAAAGAGTTATGCAGAAGATATACACAGAAGTAGGATCATCCTTTTCCAGTTATCATGCTACCCTCTAAATTCTGACTAAAAGTGCCAACTAATAGAACTCTTCCAAATGAGTAGTAAAAGTGGGAAATACTTGGATATAATGCAAATTAGATGTCTCTACGTGATCAACATCACCGACTGACAGTTTTGAGCTTGATAGTCCTCACAAAGTCAGCAGATATTAAAACAATTTCTACTTGCTGTAGGCCCAAATATCATTCAAAAGATAATAATTTTTCCATTTCCCGCTTCACCAGGGAATCATGAATTTGAGCAACCATGTTAGCAACCTCTATGTGAGGCAGAAATCATTGTCAGATTAACCAGAGACTACCATCGGCCATTTGCTTAGGACTTAGGAATATGAACCAACGGAGCTACAGGTTCACCCCTACCACCGGATATGTTGCTTAAAGCACAATTGGGATTGTCAAGTGAGGAAAATGGAAAACTAAGAGAATCAAGGTAAGAAACAGTGAAACACAGCATTAAGTGAATACATCCCCAACCAAAGTAAGAAACACCAAACAATTATTTTCATCGGGAAGTCACTTTAAACCTCAAAATTTCTTAGTTCCTATATCATGTTCACACAAAAAAAAAAAAAAAATTGAACATCAAAGCAATCAAATATATAAAAGAAAGCTACCAAAATCCAAATACTGTGAAGGGAGCCTTACCGTGTGTTCATCTAACAATCCACATGCAGGATCAAGTAGTTTGCTAACAAAGTCATCTTGTGTTTCCTTCTTTGCTGTAGAGCTAACAGCTGCTACAAAAGCGAGAACCAATAGAACGCAAAGTCTAAACTTTATGGTAACCATATGTTTCTGAATTCCCATTCCAAATGCTTGATATGCTTCTCATTTCAGTTTCATCAAAGGACTAAACCCCAACAACCACAAATCTACAATTCCTTCATCACTTACAATTACAAAAACACCTCAAAAATGAATCTTTTTCACTATCCACCACCAACCCACTTCGATTCCTCACCAGAACAATGCTCCCAGTGCCCTGCAGGGATGAATTCTTCAAGACCCAACAAGGGTTTCAGATGAAAAATCAGAATTTCAAGATCAAACAGTACGAACAAAAGCAAACCCCAGAAAAACTGTGTCCCTATCCAAAGTTTCCAACTTGTACTGAATCAGATCAAGTTCAGCCAAAACCCCACCAGAAAAATCAATTGAAAAAATAAGCAGCTCCAAACAAAAACAAAAATAGGGGGTGTCTATTGTTAAACCATCAAAATCACAACCTGTGCACAGAAACAAACAACCCTTCTAAAAGCAAACACAGAGTGGAGCTCCTGAGAAAGATTCAAAAAAAGGGTCTTTGGTTCTAACAGGATCCAAGGGAAGCAACTAAAAAACGAGGGCTATTGGTGTTGTTGACCGTGAAATGTTAAATGTGACTATGTAGTTCATTTTTTTTATGCAAAAAGTGTGTTATAAATGGTAAGAAAGAGGCTAGAAGCAAAGACTTTAGTTAAAAGAAAGAATGAGAAAGTTAATCTCAAGAAAAGGAAGTTTCTTGGCGCCAGACAGAAGAACTCTACGCGTAAAGGACCGGTCTTAGAGCAAGGCTTCTGGATTCAGTCATTTGCTAGCTCAAATGTCTTGCACTACTCTTCTTCTCATTCTAACATTGATTAACGGAAAAATTCTATGTAAAATAAGAATATATATATATATATATATATATAATATCCGTTAAAATAAATTAATATTATAAAATATTTATTGATTTAATTTTTTTTAAATTTTATTAAATAATATAAGCATTATGATATATATATAAATTATTATTTATATTTTAATGAATTAATATAATTTTTATATTTCATATGCAACCTAGAGAATTGTTTATATATTAAATATAAAAATCACACTGCGTTCTATCTCCAATAAATAAAATAAAACATTTGAAGGATTTCCATTTATAGATGTTACATGTATTATTAAAAAATACAAAATTTCAATGATATGATATTATGAACTCATACTTGATTTTATTTTATAGGAAAAATATTAAACTAAAAGAAATTATGTTTACTAAAACTACCAAGAGTTTCATTTTTCTAATACTATTCATATAAATAGAATTTAAAGTATTGTTAATAAATATTTAAAATATTGAAAAAGTATATTTGTTTTGCTAAAAATCAATTAAATATTGAAAAAATAGAATAATTTTATTTTAAAATTAAAATCATATATTTAATTTATTTTGAATTTGATTGGGTTTTAAAAAACCAAACTATATGCACCGGTAAGTAAACACATCCCAACACTTGCTTTTAAACCCTCGTAATACTCATCTAAAATAATAGAAAATTTTAGTTGTTTTAGTTTTTAGTTTGTTTACTTTTTTATTTTTATATTAAATTTTACAATTTACATTAGAATATATCATTTTATAAAGATCCAAAGAAAAAATAATAATATATTTCTAATCCGTGTTATTGACATATTAGATTAGATTCATTCTTTATAAACTGAATATAATCTTATGTAAATAAATTAATAATACGGATTAGAAATATTTATAAACTTTTTTTTTATCTCTATAAAATGATATAATATAATGTTGATAAATATTATTTACATTAGATTATAGTCATTCCTTGATTCACAACAAAAAATTAATTTATTATCATAAATATTCAATATTCTCATATTTTAAAATTCAATAACTTCTCAAATAATAACTTTTAAAAAATATTTTTTTATTATTTGTTTACAAGTACTTAATGCGAAAGCATTATATACCCTTTATTTAAGGTTCTAAATTTATTAAAAAAGAATTAAATAAATTTTTTTATTTTTATATAATATTTTTAATAAGATTTTATTATTTTTATCCCCTTATTATATGTTTACCAATAAAAATAAGAACTATATTAATCAATATTATAAGAATATTGATTATAAAATCAAAATAGAATATTTTTATGAGAATTTATTACTAATTTTATCTCACTGTAACTTTTTTGGGTACCTTACATAATCTTTAATATAAAATTATTTGTTAATTTTTTAAATATTTATAGCGCATTCGTTAACAAATTTCTACTTTCAAAACCATTATCAAAATTTAGTTTTGTAATACTTGTGTTGAGAACAAAGTTAGATAAAATATTACATTTATTGCCACAATTGGTGCAAATATTACCAAAATTAAAGATAAAGTTTTTCAAAATAAAATCTTTGTTTTTATTAGAAAATAGCATCATGTAATATTTGTTTTAATTTTTATCTATTGATAAATCAATAAAAACTACCTTTATATGCAATTTGTAAGTCATAGTTCTTAAATGATATAATTTTTAAGAATTTCCTTAAATGAGAGAATTTTTATATGTTTTAGTTATCTTCTATTTTTAAGAAAAAATAATCTTGTTTTAAATTTTATACTTTTTTTTTTATAATGGATATTGTTTTTTAAAACTTTTATATCTTTTAATTTAGCCTTATTGAATAGAATATTTATCATCAGTTATTAGTGACAAAAAGTTTCAGTAACTAATTAATTCTTATCTCTAAGTCAGTTGATAAAGTGAACAAATTTTTTTGTCAATAATCTACAAAGGTGATGATGGTAAATAAATAATGAAAGGATCTTGTAACTTTTAAATAAAAATTTTTACTTTTTAAAAGTTAACTTATAAAATGTTACTTCAAGTAATATTCATTTTATTAGAAGTTAGCTTTCAATAATTTTTTTTATTTTTAACCTTTTAAACAATTTATAGTTACACAATATAAAGTTATCACTTTTGTTTTGTTTTAGTCGTTTAACATTTTTAACTAATTGTACAATTAGTTAAATAATTTTCATTCAATCGGCTAGTTAAAAGTTATAAGTTAACTATAACTATGAATCTACAAACTTTTAATTAATTTACCAAACAGAGCAATAGATCCACTCAGTTAATTATGTATATCAATAGGCAAATGTATAATAGAAGTAATTTACTTCTTGAAAAATCAATCTTTTGATGCTCTTTTTGCTACAAAATGTCCTTTGATGGTCTTCCTCCAAACATAGTACCGAGGCAAAGTTCTTGTCTGTTGTACACAAGTTATCTACAATAGCAGAGCATCAATTCTCCATGTGGCATATGACAAACAGTTAAATGGAGGTATCATAGCAATGGTTAACATCAAGTAAACATCAACTGGATTTCCTACATGAAAGTAGATTAATGCCTGAATCCCTTGTTTACGATATACACAAACATTATTTATTTTAAATTTATGATATACATAGTTATATCGTAGCATTTCACTAAGGATTCTCCATTTCTGTGTAATAGGGGCCAAATAGGACTTTTATTTTCACCCTTTTCCATTTTATCATGAACCAACTTTCTTAAAAGCTTAAGCTGATTGGTAAGAGTTCATATAAATGGTTTTATTTGAGTTGAGTCGGGTGGACTTACTTAAGGATGCAAAACTCCCCCAACAATTATTTTTTTTCATTTACAAAACCTAAATATATGACCTTCCTTAAATAAAATCAAACTCTTTCTTGCTTAGGCTAACAAACCTTAATGAAAAATTGAAAAAGCCCTTTGGGCTAAAAACATTGATGATGCACAAATCCATCTTAATTTATTCAGAAATCCTACTTTTATTTCCTGGGCAGCAAGAATCTCTTGACAACTTGGTTATAGAAGCTTAACACAAAGTCAATAACTAACTTTTTTTTAAAAAAAAAAGGTTAACCTATTAGATGCAAGTTCATTAATGATTCTATATCAAGCATATATTTTAACCACATATATGTAAATTCCAATGGCCAACCACATAGCATTTAGCCTCATGTTATGTTCTTTACATAATCTCTCCTTCTGTTAAAGCAAGGTATAGAAAAGAAAATATTCCTTTTAGCTTTACAGGCTTCCAGATATTCCAAAGGAATTTGTCCTCTGGCCTCTATCAAATGGCCTCATTTCCACTATAAGAGAAAGCCCAAGAAAACTCGCTCTACCATACACTCCTAATCATTAAATCATTTTGAGCAGCAATGACTAGTTCTAAGAAGCTGGAGGTTCAAACAATTGATCAAACTCCACATAAATGGTGTACTTCATTGGGAGAAGAGGTTTTCAAAAGATTTTTCAGCCAGGCTAATCCAACAGTTCATAAGGTTTTTGGTGATGGATCACTTTTCAGTCCAATGTTGTTTGGGAAGTTCTTTGATCCTTCTGATGCCTTTCCTCTATGGGAGTTTGACTCAGATGTCTTGTTATCTCATCTAAGGAACTCCAACCAAAACACTGTGGAGTGGTATCATTCAGATGAAGGTTACATATTAAAGGCAGAAATACCAGGTAGGATAAATTTCTCTACAACTTCACCTATCAACAAACCTTCTGCAGTTTTATATGGTCTTGTTAACCTGTCAGAGCCCTTTGGAGTATTGGTTAATGAATTAATAACTAATAATTTTTTATTAGAAATCATGTTAAGTTACATAGAAAATCACCAAAAGAGTGAATTAATTAAAAAAAATAATTAAAACTTTTTTTTTTAATTCTTTAACCCTTGTCCTTTGCCTTATTGTTAACCTGAATGTGTTAAATAAATCATAGAACAAGGAGACTGCCTCATCATTTTTTATATATGCAAATTAAAAGGAAAAAAATAAAAATTAATGCATTAGAACTTAGATGAACTATTTTCATAACTTGCAGGCACAATTATTTTGAAACAAGAGAAGCCTGATGCATTAAAATTTTCTTTACATGGTCGAATATTTAAAACTATATGATTGAGTATACAGTGGATCCATCACCCACATGAAATTGAGTCAATAGGGGGTTGTGAATAAGCCCAAGCCTAGTTTTATTTTTTTTGGGTTGGGAGGGTTGTAAAGGCCCAGCCTAGTTTCAAAATAAGAAATTTGCTTGACTAGTAAAATTTTATGTGACACATGATTTTGCCAAAACAGGAACCGGTATAAGTAACATTCAAGTCCATATTGATGATCGGAAAGTTGTGGAAATTAGTGGGCAGTGGAAGCTGAACAGAGATAACCCAGAGGCAAATAATGACTGGAAATGTGGCCATTGGTGGGAATATGGGTATGTTCGAAGGCTTGAGATGCCAGAGGATGCAGATTCGAAGAATATTGAAGCACACATATATAATAGCTTATTTTTGGAAGTAAGAATACCAAAGTGCCTTCAGAAGGAAAAGGATGTGACTTCGAGTAGTGTAAGGTTAAGAGAATAGCATTATCAGATAGTGCTACTATTAGTTTTGTCAGCAACTTCCATCCAACTTGATATTTGATAATACTAGACATCTAACAAACTAAGAAAACATAATATTAGTGCATGTTTGTTTGTTTTTTTTTTTTTTTTTTGAGGAAGATAATTTCTTATTTTTCAAAAGCTCTCACAGAATTGCAAAAAATAAACAATATTATTTCTTCAAAATAAGTTAAACCAACCAAATATGCACAAAGTAAGCATAAGTAGGCTTTCTGATAAGGTGAGAGTATGATTAATTTGGAGAAACTTCTGTATAAGAGAAAAAAAATTAAAATAAATAATTTTCTTTCACAAATTAAAAGCAAGCTAAACTCTTTATGTTTTAAAAAAGTTAAATGAGAAAACTTTTTTTAAAAAAATATAAGATTATTTTAACTTAATAAAATCGTTTTATTTATTTTATTGCTTAATTTTTTTATTCATATAAATATTTATTAAAAAATTATTCAAACTATATCTATGTATGTCTATACATATGTGCATGTGCTTACTCATGTCTAAAAAATCAACATTCTTTCTATATATAGAACAGCTAAAACTGAAGTTGGGACAACAAAGAATACGATGTATAGATAGAAAAAATGAAATTTTATGTCAAGACCAATCTCTAAATTACAAAAGAAACTAATAAAAGAAAGCTAATAATAGTTCAAGTTCATCCGTTCAGGTAAACATTGGAAACATGATTAAATGGGAAAAAATGTTAGAGACAGGATAATGATAATGTCCCATCAATAGGCAAAAATTCTTTGTTGCCATGAAAGTTACATGTGACAACTGTTTCATACAATCATACTGAGAACAGAATGCAATGAACAAGGTCGATACATGTAAATTACATAACTCAATGGTCATGAAAACACAGATGACATGCTTGCAAACCTGAATCAATAGGCCAGTTCAAAACATAGTTTATTTGTTGTAAGCACTTGAATGTTAGTCTCATGACAAATGAAAAGAATAATGATCCTCAAAATTTATAAGGATATAAAAATAAACGAGATTATGCACCGCAAGACATATCTATATTTTCTTCTTTTAACATATGGGCAACAGTGGGAATGGGACATTCCCATCCAACTATGTTCTTGTTGTTCATTGTCTTCTAGTTGTGTACCTCCACATGCCATTCCGTAGTACCAAACAAAGCAAGCATTATCTTGTTTTCTTGTTCAATAATTTACAACCTTGTACATAGACATAGATGGAATATTAGCTAGTCAACAAATTAATTACAAAATAAAAATTAGTAAACCGTTAATTTTAATCTGTCACCGACATCTCACTTCACATGGGGTGTATGGTTCAAGAAGATGATTAATTTTAGATTTTAAGGTTAACTTGAAGCTTCATAGCAAAGTTTTCTTCTCTCTCTATTTTTTTAAAATTCTTGTGTTTATACCTGATTCAGGTATTATATGACAAATATGAAGACTTTTAAATAATTACAAACTTAAACTGTCAAATGCATTTCAATTTTCTCAAACAAGTGGATGGCATTAATAAACATAATTTGCCAAAAAGTTAATCTGAAAAATGGAGATGCGGGGTATCGATCCCCGTACCTCTCGCATGCTAAGCGAGCGCTCTACCATCTGAGCTACATCCCCTTTGTTTGTTGGGTGTCAGTTTTATTGTTTTATTTTAAAATAATATTTTTGTCTAACTATTTAAGCACACATTACAATATTGTGTTGATTAATAACATCTTACGATATAATGAGTTGATAAAGTAGAGTGGATATACCATGCTTAAAACTAAAAGAGGTACCAACCCAAATATTAAAATCGATAACATCTACAAAAATATTCCTTTTAACGTGACTTAAAATGATTAACACTCTTAAGATTCAAATATAGTATACGCCAAATTCATTCACCATTAAGCCACCTCCTCGGAATTTTCAGACTATTTCCAAGATGGTGGATAAATAAATTTTCCTTGTCACTTACTGTAAGCAACAGAGTGTTTGTTTTCATGCGATAAACAACTATTCTGATAAATGAACTTCTGATTTAATTTTATGGTACTTCTATCTAATCGTTATATATTGACTCAAATTATTGGTTTATGTAGTATATTGTTCTTATGAATAATAAATTTGTCCAACATTAGAACATGGGTCAATTTTTATTATAATTTTTTTTCATTCAATAACTTTTGTAATTTCTTTTTATTCTTTACACAGGGTTGAATAGTTTTGTTTTGTTTTTTGTGATGAATGATAATTTATCAGATATATAGATTATTTATCCGTACTCTTTCCGTGGGACTTGCTTTTATAGTTCTTGGTAAATTAGGAGAACAAAAAAAGTTAATTGAATGTCTAAATCGCCAAGACTTTAATTGTTAAAAATTAATAAAAAAAATAAGCGATTATTTATTGAAAATAAATTAAAGTAAACATAATTATTTTGTGTCTTTAACGTACTGGTTAAATGGAAACAATGAATTTTTTACAAGAAAAATTAAAGTGATAACCTTTTAAATGCTGAGTAAAATATAATTATTTTGATCTTAATGCAGAATGAAAGTCAAAAACCATAATTGGGAGGACTATCCTATCTTGTTTTCTAAGCTCTACACAAAATCAAGCAGGCCAAGCTCTACCAAATTTGAATGGGTCAAACCAACTTGTTCTGTTCATCCAACTTTGAAAGGTACTAAATTCCAGAATAATCTTCCACATGCATAGCTAGGACACTTGGTGAAGTCATTCAGATACATAAGTATGCAGGCCACAATGCAAATTTTATGCTTTCAATAGAATTGATTAGTCTTCTCATTTGTCTCATACCACTTTGGACTTGTTAAAATGAAAAAGAACTTGAGAAGCTAAATTGGATTTATAATAACCATACTCAGTTTATTATGTGCAAGTCAACTAGCCACATCAAGTGGAAAAAATTTGGTTTAATTTCAGCAATTATGGAATCACAAAAATAATGCTCTAATTATCATCTTTCAACCAACCATTTGGAAGGAACCCTTGTTATATAGTAATTTCTTAAAGACGGGTTTTGTGTACAACACAATCAAATGATAAACCATGATACGAAATTGTGATTGGTACATCAATAACTGTCTTGTGCATTGGGAAAAAAAAATGTAGCTTACTCATCACACCAAAAGTGACATATATTTCTGCATCTGAAGGGAGACATATATTAGTGAACATCTCTGAAAGACGAAATCCTTATAGATACACAAGTATTAAGCACCACATTGCTTGACAAACTAGCAATTCTAGTAAAGGAAATTCTACATGCTGCATCTTAATATTATCATTTTTTGGGTTAAAAATTAAATTAATAAGATATCATGTCCATTTTCTTACTATTACAGGAGCAAGACAGAACAAGTAACCTGCTAGACTTTGTGCAAAGAAAAGGCTAAAGGGTGTCTGATTGATCCCTTGGAACTTTAGTTGACACCAAATTGCTCTCTTTAAAGGGCAAGATCTGAACATCAACTGTGAGATTGTGACAGGAAGAATTTTGATCTTTATTCCATTTAATGGAAAACGATGAGGACTATTAGTATGGTGCAATAGGCTTAGTGAAAAACTTTATTTGGTGCATGGAGAAGGAGATAAGTCAATTCCATAAGCATAGTTGAAGAAGAAGCCTCATAAAGGGGTCATGGGAAAAGGACACAGAATGCAGCTGAGTACCAAGAAGTGAATGGAAAAGCCAACTACTTATAACATGTGAGGTGGTGTGGGATGTGCTTTCACTGTATATTCCATTCTGCTAAGTTGGCAGAGAAAGTTGGGTGCTAACTTTTCTTGGAAAATGAAAGGGGAAAATTCTTAGCCTCCATCTAAAGCAACATAAAATAGTTGTTTAATTCTAAGCAGCTTGGCAAACATTTGGATTTGGAAGAAGTTATGTTGGATCCTGCTACAGCAGAGGGTGGAATAATGGACATTAATTTATTATTATATAATTGGTTCAACATCTTGCAGATATGGTAACAAATTAATTTAGGGAATCTATACAGTGGGTGTTTGGATTGAGGATGGAAGACTTGTAAACGTAGATTGAATATAAAACTTATAATTAGAAGTATTGAAATAAATATACATCTGTAAGTATTTAAACGTGAATCTAAACATGCTTATAGTTTTATTGAACATTTTTTTGTTAGTAGAGATAGTTCTCAATTCACACACAATAATTATGCTTAAAGATTCTTTTACTAAAAATATATGCTTGAAGTTAGGGAGGTTTGATTAAACTGAAACATTGAGCAACAATCGTTTTCAACATAATTACTGCCTTTATTTTTAATAATACATTTGATAGGAGTAAAAAATATGAGCTGTTCACAGAAAAGTAATCATGTGTTGTATTTACAGTGGAGACAAATCATACATTATTAATATTTAATTATTCTTCTGTACTTTAGGTTCTTTCCAAGTACAATTTCTTTAATAGGCGAAATTAAAAGAGCTAATTGCATGTCTGAAGTAAAAATCAATTGCATCTTTACATTAAACTAAAATAACATTAAGGTGAAGGATGTGGAGAATGGGTTGACCCTAATTTAAAGAGAAACAAATCATGTTTTAGTTCAACCATCAACAACTTTTGATTTTCAACTTTATACAACACTTCACTCTATCATTGCTATCCATTTAATTATATGAAGTTGAAAGAAGTTTAGCAAATTTGAACTCAAGGTTTGTACGGATTGTTACTCCAATTTAAGGAAGCACAGCATTCAATAATTTTTTCATATAAAAGCATCCATTTCTTATTCTTTAAGGTAACTTTGATGCCACCAAACTATCAATTTTTATACATCGCCCTGTTCATTAATGGTACTTTTAAATTTCTTGAAGTCTTAATCAGTAGGTAATATATAGCTTTGTTTAATCTAACCCATGTCATAACAGACAATAAACAATGAATGGTCGTTTGTTCGTTACCAGTTTGTTTTTTAAATAAGATGTT